GACCCTCAGATTGCGAGTCGAGCGCCTTATCCACCTGGCCATGCCGGGCCCTTTAGTTGTCAAAACCTTTAAGATGGTTACATATAACTTAAATTTTTAATTTATATTGATAGCGACCTATGGCGTCTTCTCTGTAAATCATATTCCAATTCTGTCAGATACATGTTTATATCCAACCTGAAATAAAGTCAATGAACAAAGCAGGAAGTTCATGAGTGTTTGATTAATAGCCGTGTTTGCTTGGCCAATATTAACCGCGTAGTTCGTTCTGTGGTAGAGCTTTTGGATTTCGGAACTAACAAGCCAGGTTAAAATCCATTGGACACCACGAAAAATTACCGCCTTTAAGCTGTTGGTACGTTATAAGAGTGGTAGTCAATCCCTTAGCGTGTATAGTTGATGGTTCAATGCAGCTGACTTGTCGTTAGTTCTGTGACGGATTTATTATTATATATTTATTTTAATATCGATGTTTGCTTGAATTAAATTTATATTAACAAGTGTACATAACTTATACAGTTAAATATGTATTGCGAAACTCCCTCCTATTCTCTAAAGTTGTAAAAGATTGTGAGAGTGTAAGAATCAACAATATATGTATGTATATAAACGCTTAATGTAGCTTTGTATTGTTACGTAATCTGAATTTTCGAGAAACTCTCCACACGCTTATAAAAATAACCAATGCGACACGCCAAAAAAAAAGTAGTATCTATTATTAGTTTGCTATAGTCAGTGTGCTATAAACTTCGGAAGCTATAACCGTAATTGTTATAACGCTTACCAATCTGAAAACCTCATATATTTGACCAGGAGCATTTACAAAATTCGAATATTACAACTGATTTATCTTCAGTGGATTCTCATCGGACATTAGTATTTTTTACGAAACATTACCTAACTTCCTGATAGAAAACTCGACTGTTGAATGACGAAAGACAAAGCTAGCTAACTTCCCGTTAAGCGAATCGTACCTACATCAACTCGTAATTAACTCGCTCATCGTGAACCCTCGATAAGATATCAAAGAAGTTCCAGACTAGAAAGAAAACTTTCTATTGCTTGTAAGTTTGTGAAACTTTTGTTTGTAAATCATTGTTTGTAATAATTATTTGTAATAACTGTTATTGTAAGTTGTATTGTTGTGTGTATGTTAAAACGTATTTGTGCTAAAAAAGAAAACTGTGTGTATCAATCTTGTTGGCGAGTATCATTAACTGACTATATATCGACTTTACTTAACTGTTAAATCCAAAGTACAATTTAACTATTAAATTTAAAGTATCACATCATGACATGACGTAGAATGGATAGAGGTTACTACTGGTATATACCTGTCAATCATGGTATTTCAAGTTTACAACCAATGTGATTATAAAATCTCTCCTATAGGTACATAGGTAAGCTCATACTTCATTATTGACATTTGGTTATTGACAATTTTAGTTTCATCCATATAATATGTATCCATGTGTATGAGTTTGAAACTGATGTCATGTAGTGTCAGATTACCAGGTAAAGCAATAATTTGATATCAGTCACTGTCATTTTGTTAACATTGTTCCAATGGGAAGGTAGAGTGGAGCAAAAGGTCTATTTTTAATAGTTTTTCATTAATTATTAACTAAATAATTGAACTTGCAGTGTAAATCTACTAATTTGTGACTGTGAAATCCAATGGTGTGTGAATTTTTTTTGATATTTTCATTACTTAAAAATCCCCCAAACCCCCTACTTTTATATAGACTTATTTTCATCTAATAATCCATAAATGAAGAACACAAAAATAATTTAAAAAACTGAAAAAGAAAGACAAATACAGAATAGTCCATTGGATTATATATTTTTATATTAGAGAAATCTGTTGGTTGTTATTAACATATTCTAGTCAAACTGGACGCTTGTTACTAGTAGTATCGCAAGAGTTGTATGTGGACCTTGATTTTTATTATTTACATTAATGATATTGATAGCGGCATAATTAATATATTAGTAAAGTTTGCTAATGACTCCTAACATGCCAGAATTTATATTGTGTATCCTAGTCCTCATTAATTATGTATGAAAGAAAATGATACATCAACACTATCAATTCCCTTAACAATCTTTAAACATCTCAATCAGATCCCACCTAGCTCTTCTTTTTTCAAGAGAAAAAAATTTCAGAGACTTTAACCAATACTCATATAAAAACCCTTCCATCTCAGGCATCATTCTAGCAGCCCTTCTCTGAACCCTTTTCAACAATTCAACGTTTTTTCTAAGGCAAGGAGCCCATGTCTGTACACTACATTACAAATGTTGCCTAACCAGTGACCTATATGATAAAATTATATCCTCATTAGGCTTGTATTTCTGTAGATACAACCTAAAATCCTATTTGCCCTACCACTAGCAACAGCACACTGTTTAGATGACTTAAGGAGACTGATAAACCACTAGACAAACATCCCTTTCTTTCATAACATTGTTCACGTTATTCTCATCCAAATTATACTTATAACTATGGTAACCCACATACATTATCTTGCATCTATTATAATTACAAGCCATGTGCCATTCATTTGTCCAACTCACCAAAAAATCCAAGTCCTTTTGTAAAATGGCAACATCCAAAAATTTAATATCAACAGCAAATTTAAGTAATTTATTGACCATTCATTCATCTTTGTCATTGATGTAAATCAAAAAGAGCAAAGGCCCTAAGACTGAGCCCTGAGGTACTATAATTATGACATTGATCCAGTTTGACTGAACTCTATTTATGATAACCCTCTACTTTCTTTCATCTAGCCAGTTGTCTCTGTCCAATGAGCCAACTTATCCCCCACACCTACATAGATAACTTTTTAAACAAGCCTTTTTTGTGGCATCTTGTAAAATACTTTCCGAGTTTCTCAAAATTCATATACACCAAATCCACACTCTACCCTGATCTAAATAAGCAGTAACCTCTTCAAAGAATGTGAATCTACACTAACAATACAACAAAATTTTAAACTTTGTTAAATGACTTTGCAAAGCATCTTTTATCAGACTTTCAAAAACTTTTCCCACCACTGATGTAAGACTAAGAGTAATAGGCCTATAATTACTGGGTCAATTTTTATCACCTCACTTGAAAGCAGAAGTAAATTAATCAATTTCCAGTCTTCATGCACATTACAACTATTCAAGGACTTATATATATAAAAAAAAACACACAGTTAAAAATGTATTATGTGTAGCCACTTCCCATTTTATTTTTCCCTGACAATTGGCACAAACACAGGTGTAGAATGCTTGTTACACTTTCAAGGTTTCCTGCTTTATGATTTATCTAATTCTAAATTTACCCAGTGTCAATGAAATGTTCAATACTAATATTAAAAAAGTAAAATGTGAAAGACCATTAGTACACCTTACACAAAATTAATGATTAATCTTACAATTATCCTTAATTAGTAAATATGGGATTATTTAAAGTTTAATAATTTGCCACAACGTTAATGGTTAAACTTAAAACTACAGTACAACGGTGTCAAACTTTTAAAAATATATTAAAAAAGGATACTTACTCCAATATTTGGGCTAGCCTAGAAAATAGCCTACGCTTTTCACAATACCAACACAATAAGTATAGTATAATCTACATACAAATTACAATATATAATACATTTATACAGTAACACACTACTCTTAGTCTACACAATTACGGAATAATGAATTAGTTAGGCTTGACAATCTATACCTTTAGTAGCCTTATTTTCCTCGTTTACAAGCTTATACTTCAATAATTAGGGTAAGTTACAATTCTAACTATAATTTCGTAAATGAATAACAAAAACTTAATTACGAATTATACAGTATCCTTTAGCTATACAGTTAGATATCAAATTGCCGGTAAAAATATGGCATTTAGGCTTTACGCCATTTTATTCTAGAACAACCAAACACGCGCAAGACCCCTAGTTATTTTTATAGGAACTGCGTGTGATACAAAAATATTAATTATTACTTTATATGACATTATATCGCAATAGAACAAATATTTTATTATCAGTCTTTGGTATTGTAGATGAGACAGCTTAAATTGGTCAATAAATTCCTTGTTATACCTAAAGTTTTTATTATGTCTCACTGTAAAGAATATTTCACAATCTACCGACCTATAGACCACGCTTAATCAATACCATACCAAATACTATCAGTTACTACTAGTTTCAAGTAAGTTTTCATATTATTTGTTTCTTTGTTATTAAGCTCAAAGAACTATGGGTACTGTGTTCAATACGGGGATCGAAAAACGATTAATACTAATTGTAACGTTGCACTTTCAACAACGAAAATTCGTGAAGTATTGGAATCCAATAAGCCTAATATTTGTGATAAAAGTACTCACATTGCATATTTTTTTCCAAAATTCTTTTTAATTTTAAAAGCATTTCAGATCTATCTTTTGTTTTCATAACTCACTGTCCTTTATGCCCCAAATGACCAGTACCGATGCTAGAAAGAGAAGTATTCAAAAAAGAGGGCAATATGCTGCCCCTTTTTATATTTCCTATAAAACTGAACTGAGATTTGAGGAGCTCCATTATTATTCTCTGCACCAAGGCGGGTTTGGACAATATTTGCACCTTTCAATCCAGGTGTTCCGCGAAAGCTGACAAAAACCAACTCCATTCTGAATTATTCCTTCAAAACATAACACGTATTTCCATCTGTGGTTTTCTTGCGTGAAATTCCCTTAACATTCCTCAGCCTTGTTGGAAATGGCGGGTTAATGAAGCAGCGCGTGCGCCGTGTAATTTTATTTAAGGAGTCTACTAATTTCGTTGGTGCTTGTAGCTAGAGGAACAAATCAAAACGGGTCGTTCATTTGACTCCTTAGTTATATCACTTATTCAGAATAAACACGACATGAACAAACTTACAGTTTTTGAAGATGGGATATGAATTCAACATCTATAGCTACAACCTAACCCCTCTTGGTCGTTTTGCGATCATGTGATTCGCACACTTGGAACCTTTTTTATAAGATATATATTCATTGTTATAACTTAGCTGTTTGCGAGAGAGATCTGATAACCCTGATGATGTAATAATCGAGATGCTTCCTCGTCGAGGATATATTACATATAACATAACATAGTGTCTATTGACATCAAGGGACCTATTGGTCCATCTAGACTGGCCCATCCTCTAAGCTAAGCTAAAGCTATTAAATAAAAAAACCTCAAAACCAGCCCTTATCATTCATATAGTTATCAAGCTTTCTCTTAAACTTGCTTAAATTAACCATACTCGTTACAAAGGCTAACCACCCTGTTAGAAAAATTATACTGTCTCAGCTGAAGATTACTCATACCTTGTCAAAATTGATATTTTTGTCCCCTAGTCCTATCATGTGCACCATTAAGTATGAAAAGATGATACATCAACACTATCAATTCCATTAACAATCTTTAAACATCTTAATCTGATCCCCTCCAGCTCTTCGTTTTTCAAAATAAAACAATTTCAGAGATTTCAGCTTCTCCTCGTATGACAACCATCCAAGTTACCATTCTAGTAGCCCTTCTCCGAACCATTTCTAACAATTCAATGTCTTTTCTAAGACAAGGAACCCAAGACTGAACACAATACTCCAAATGTGGCCTAACCAGTGCCCTATACAATGAAATTATAACCTCTTTAGACTTATATTCAATATTTCTGTAGATACAACCTAAAATCCTATTTTCCTTACCACTAGCAACAGCACACTGCTTACATGGCTGTAAAGACTGATCAATCACTACATGAAGATCCCTTTCTTTCATAACACTGTTAAGGTTATTAAAATTATGGTAACCAACATGCATTATCTTGCATTTATTATAATTACAAGCCATGTTTCATTTATTTGCCAACTCATCAGAAAATCCAAGTTCTTCTGTAAAGGAACAAAAGCAGCATCCATACAGACAGCAACATCCAAAAGTTTAATATCATCATCAAATTTAAGTAATTTATTGACCATCCATTGATGTAACTCAAAAAGAGCAAAGGTCCTAAGACTGAGCCATGAGGTACTACAATTGTGACATTAATCCAGTTTGATTAAACTCCATTTGTAACAACGCTCTGCTTTCTTCCATCCAACCACTCTTCTATCCAATTAGCTAACGTATTCCCCACACCTATAGAAATAATTGGTTTACAAGCCTTTTATGTGACAGCTTGTCAAATGCTTTCTTAAAATTCATATACATCAAATCAATATGTATTTCAAAAGATTTATAAGGCCAAATCTTTCCTTAGTGAAACCATGTTGACTATCCAATAAAATTCTAAGCTTTGTTAAATGACTCTGCAAAGCATTTTATCAGACTTTCCAAAACTTTTCCCACAACTGATGGAAGATATATACAATTTTTATCACCTCTGTTGAAAAGACGAGTAACATTTGCCATCTTCTAATCCTCTGGCACCTGCCCACTATTTAAGAACTTACAAAAAATAATAGTAAATTGCTCACATATCCAATCCTTAACCTCCTTCAAAACCCTTAGAGAAATATTATCTGACTCAAGAGCCTTATCGTTCTTTAAACTTTCCAATTTTTTCTTAAACAAGCTCAGAATTAATGTGATCATCTTGTTCGATGTCGTTTCCATCTCTCAACAGTTCAAGGTGAAAAATATTGCTTAAAACTTCATTAGTAAAAACTGAAGAAAGAGCAGAATTTAGTAACCCAGCCATCTCATAATAATCATATACGAGCCTTCCTTTGTCGTCCTTCGAAGGTCCTATCCCCATCCTAACATTTTGTTTATCCTTAATGTATTTAAAAAACTCCTTACTGTTAATTTTTACATTTTCAGCAAACCTTTTTCATGCATTCTTTCTGATGTACTAGTTTTCTGTTTGACCAACTTTCTTGATATTCTATAATCTTCTAAATCTCCCATTATACTAATCAATATAAACTTCTTAAATTCGTGATGCTTTTATATAATTTTATGCCTTATACCCTTTATGAGCCAACCTGTTTTTTACTTGCAGCCACTATTTTATTTCTATAGGAAATATATTTACCCTGAATATTTAAAAAATTATTTCCACATCTGATTAGTGTCTCCAAATAATTCAGCTGCCCAATTCATAACAGATAACTCTTGTCGCATCCCTTCAAAATTTGCTTTTTTGAAATTTGTAACTAAAATATCATTATTTCTGATTTCTATATGCAGCCAAACATGAAACCTAATAGAGCAATGATCACTTGCACTCAGATGTTCCCCAATTTCCATCATCTCAACAATTTCTATATTAGAAGTTAACAATAAATCTAAAATAGCATTGTTCTAGTAGGTTTCTTGACCAGTTGGTGATGAAAACCATCTTGCAATGTTTCTAAAAACCTTTCTCCCTCATGGTTTGACCCTAACATTTCCTAGTCTATAGGCCTGATATTAAAATCCCCATAATTACGACCTCATTAACAGCTGAAATCTTAATCTCATTATAAAGTTTCTCATTAATTTCGTCAGTATCATTTGGTGGTTTGTAACAAATTCCCACTAAAAACCTTTTCCCTTTATTACCGCTAACAGAAACCCAAATGGATTAAATGTCCTTGCTATTATGTTTGACATCTTCAACTTCAACAGGATTTTACATATAAAGCCACTCTTCCTCCTCTCTTTAGTGCTCTATCCCTAATAAATACCATATAGCCCTAGATTTCAAAGAAATTTCTGTCATAAAAATCGTCTATATTAACCAGGTTTCCGTTATTCTCATTATATCAAAATCCTCCATTCATACCAGCGATCTAAAGTCATATATTTTTCTTATACTTTTAGGATTATAATAGTAACAATTAAACCTACCCTTAAAACTACTTCTATACTCATTTCCTATGCTAAACTTTTCTCTACATCTTATTTTTTTTCATTTAGTTTATCCTGGCCCTCATCACTGTCTAGTATTTGTTTAAGTCTTCCCTTACAATTGAGTTAATAGCCCCTGCAAAAAAGTAGCCTTATTTACATTAAACTGATCCCACAAGTCCAACCAGCCAATCTGCTCATTACATATTGAAATAAGCCTAGAATTCAGCATTAGTGACCTACTTATAATTTCATCCCAACAATTAATTATCGGCAGTATCCCTGACACAATTAAGTTATGACCCTTTTCTTTACATGCCAATATCAACCCCTTGTACTTATCAATTAGCTTCTCTGACTTACATTTCTATACACCAATATCCCCTATGTGCACAAGAAAAACTGCATCATTGCTCTTGCTCTGTTAGTTATATCCTCCATCCGTGCTCCTGTGTATCAGAATCTAATTCTTTTCTCCCTATTTACCTCACAGACTACCTTATCCACATGCGTTGTCAAAGAATCACCTACAACCTCCTTAAGTTTATCATTCAGTCCTTTTCTGTCCGTTTTGTTTTCCCTCCCTCCAATAGTTCCTCATCCGCACAAGCTAAAGGCTGAAATCTGTTGCTCAATAGAACATGCTCATTACAATTACATCTACTACTTTTAGCCCTATTAGTACTGTTTCTAACTTCATGAAAATCATTGTTAGCTGTTGTATTTCTTGCATGTAAAATCTTAAGTTCTTCTAATAGGAGTTTGTTTATATGTAGTTAAGCTCAAAGCTACACAGTGGGTTATCTGTGGTATGCCCACCACAGGTATTGAAACTCGGTTTTTAGCATTATAAGTTCGCAGACTTACTGCTATGCCACTGGGGGCTTAAATAGGAGTAATCAGTTGGTAAAGTTAATGATAATTCAATGAAGTGCTTAGTGAGTGTTTCAGATCAGTGTTAACAGTGAGAGCATCTTATGTATTAAATTGATCGATAGATTAGCAAAGAAATCCTGTAAGTTTATTTGTAAGTTAGGCCAGAGGGGAAGGGCGGGTTATTAAACTGGGACCTGGATGTCATTATCCCCTCAATATTTTGTTGACAACAGTTTTTTTTTTATTTATTTAGTCTTTTTGTGTGGAGTTGGCTGACTTTGCCAGTCGAAATTAAAGGAGAATACTGCTCTTTGTCAAATTCTAAACACAGTGCTATTAGTAACTTTTTGTATCCGTTTATTGTGTTTACTTGTCATTATCTGAAACAATATTATTATTTGTATAGCGTACGATATTTCAGTACACGGAAAACAATTGAATTTGTATTTTTGGTATATTATAGTACTTGTTATTGTGTGAAATTGCTGAATAATATTTCCAAACATTTTTATTGATTGTAAGATATATTTTTTATTTTATGGCTAACTCCCCTTCTCATGTTTTTTATGTTCCTACGTGTCTATAGGCGTACAATTAGTCTCGGAATTTTGGATCAAACGTTGTTTGTGAATTAAGGTCTACGACCTGTGTCAAGATGAACATAACATTTAGCAAACGTTATAGAAGAAATATATTTATTCGTTATCATTTACGTTACAACAGGATGCTCTCCTGGATGACTTTCGTTCAATACAAGAACTCGACAGCTATAATTTACATCTTCTTATCAGAATATTAGGCCAATTGGTTGTTTCCGCTTCCCTTGGCTCTTTGTTCCATATAACTAGGGAGATATGCAGGCATATCAGATGTTTTCTACCTGCTTTAGTGATATGGACATTTAATTTTTTTTCTTTTATTTAATTTCTATGTAATACAAGCATAAACAGTCATCTATAAAGTCGTTGAAAGTGTCTTGTTCTCTATAGTAAATAATGTCTATTCTGATTACGAGAATATTGTAGTAACATATAGCATCAAGGATGAAAGGATTAGAAACTGTAATACCCTTTGCTGTCTGAATTGACACTGTTTTATGTTACAGCCAACCAATGCTTTGAAGAACCAAAGGTCACAGGGTGACACTGTCAACTGGACAAAGATACCAACTTTACATGTAAAATTGAAGCATGCTTTCTTGGTTCATAGTTCTACTTGGAGTTTTTGGAGTAAAGTCTATCCTGGGTGAATAAAAGCCGTGAACCAAATCACTATTTTTCACGTATGTAAGTATTTGTGCTGTGTGTTTGTTTTTTTAGGTATAATAAAAATTGTGTTCATTTTCTTGAACTTGCCCAGTCTCATTATTTCTCATACACCAAGAACATTCTGCCAAGCTATGAAACATAGAACACTCTCCTTATTTCCTGATCGAATCTGCTGCTATTAGAAGTTCTAACTATGTGATAATTACAGGAAAGTAAGTTAACCTAAAAATAGTACAAGTATAGAGGAAGAAGAAATTTTAGTGATGTGACAATAGGATTTATTATGAAGTTTCTGTCATTCTAATGCGTGCACTGTCCTTGTTTAATCTCTTGTGTGGAAAATAATTTAAAGGAATGTTTCTCACTGAAAGAATGGCATTTTCTGGATTTAGAAGTACTCACTACCAAGAGGGAGAAGTTACTGGTGGAGAGAGATGTCAAGTCTCGGAGTAGTCCATTTTTAAACATAGGAATTTCACATGTGAAAGTCTATGACTTCAGTCAGCCTGCAACCATTGACACAGGGAGATGTTCTCTTATGTGGAACACCAATACCAATCAAGCAGATGGTCCACTAACGATTAATATTGGCAGAAAAGGAACAGAGACAACTGAAGGTCGTGGAAGTGGAATAGTGCTTGGCAAGTTTAAGGTTCAAGACCACATTGGAAGGCCTGTATTGATTCCTAGGTTTTTTGTAAGTCAGAGCACAGCAGTCCTAGTTCTGGTCTAGACCACCATAAACTAAAGAAGAGAGGCTGAACATGTCAGCAGTGAATAGTTTCTTTCAGTAAAAGTTGTTTTCTTAGCACATGAGACAACAGGCACCCACAGCTAAAGACC